TCGGTTATACAAATTCATGATTTGTTTACATATCAAAATATACATGTAGATCATTTCTCGAATTATCACATCAATGAGTCAAATCCGCCCATATGTAATTGACCCATTGTGGCTGCGCCATCAATTGAGTCCAAATAATTGCAAAGAAGCTTGCAGAAAAAATGGGTTAAGAGATAATAAAAATTACATGTGACTAGTACGATTTAAGCTCAATACAAAAATTAGGACCTAAGCAACTTTTAGAGTATTTATTCTATGAAGAAATTAGTTAAATAATCAAAATTTACTACTTTTGCTGGTTAATTAAAAACCACTATTAGTAAGTTATGAATTATTAAACACCCTTGTTAGTATTATAAAAGTTTCAATCTAAATCTGAATAATCTTTCATTGGAGGACAAGTGCACATTAAATTTATGTCGCCATATGTATCATCTAATTTTAAAGAAAAGAAAATAGTTAATTTCTTTCAAGACGGTAAGGTTAAAAAATAACCAGAACATAGCTGTAACGTACCAAGTCTTCCAACTGTTGGCCAAAATTTACGCTCTCTCAAAGATTTTATAGGAAAAGCAGCTTGTTCCCTTGTATATGCCTTATCCCACGTTGGTTTCACTAACGTTTGAATTATATGCGGTGAATTTGTAAGGATATTATCACCTTTTGGTTGTTTACCAAGCTCGATCTCACGTATTTCTTTTCTGATGGAAATCATAGCATCACAAAATCGATCTAATTCTGCTTTTGATTCAGATTCAGTTGGCTCTATCATCAACGTGTTAGAAACTGGCCATGACATCGTTGGAGAGTGAAAACCATAATCCTTAATTTAATTAGAGCCATGAATTAATAGAGTTAAAAATTATGATAAGACTTTATCACTAGAATGAAGTTGATACCTGAAGGCGTTTAGCAATATCAATTGCATGTATATCCGCACTACTTGCAAATGGTCTAACATCAACAATAAATTCGTGTGCACACATGCCATTTTGATTGGTGTATAGGATTTTGTAGTGTTCAGATAAACGACGAACCATATAGTTCGCATTAAGCAATGCGTAATATGTGGCGGATTTCAACCCTTCACTACCTAAGATCAAAAAAAAAACATAAATGTAAAATATACTAAATCAAGTGAAAAATGTATGTTATTTAAATGTGAATTCCTACCCATCATTTTTATATATGCCCACGAAATAGGTAAAATATTTGGAGAGCCAAATGGAGCAGCTGACACAGGACCTATACCCTTATCACCACCAGCTTTGATTATTGGATGTCCAGGTAAGAAAGGCACAAGGTGAGATTTTCTAAAGAAACATATATCGATCGCAATTAATTAGATATTATTAGGTATAAATACTAATAATTTCAACATTTAATTACTCACACTCCTATAGGACCAACACCAGGACCGCCACCACCATGCGGTATACAAAATGTCTTGTGCAAATTCAAATGACAAACATCAGCACCGATGTCAGCAGGTTTACATAAACCAATCTGTGCATTCATATTGGCACCATCCATATAAACTTGCCCACCATAATTATGAATTATTTCACAGGCTTCTACAACACCGTTCTCAAACACACCAAATGTTGATGGATACGTAACCATGAATGCAGCTAATCGATCTTTATATTTTTTTGCCTTTTCTTCGAGATCTTTCATGTCAAGATCCCCATTGTTACATTTAACATTAAGAACTGACATACCGGACATAGCTGCCGACGCCGGATTTGTGCCATAGGCAGAATCGGGAATAAGACAAACATCGCGTTTTTCGTCCCCACGTGATTTGTGATACGCACCAATTACGCGAAGTCCAGCATATTCACCCTGTGCACCCGAATTAGGTTGTAATGAAATACCATCAAAACCAGTTATCTCGGCAAGATCATGCTCAAGCTCCTAAATAAGTAAATAAATTTTATCAGCATATATATCAATTCTATTTAAATAACCATTAACATACCTGAATCAATATTTTGTATCCTTCTGCTTGGTCAATTGGAGCGAAAGGATGAATATTTGCAAATTCAGGCCATGTTACAGGAATCATTTCTGTTGTAGCATTAAGTTTCATAGTACAGCTTCCCAAAGAAATCATAGAATGGGCCAATGAAAGATCTTTAGATTGCAAATGATATATATATCGTAGCATTTCTGTTTCTGAATGGTAAGAATTAAAAACCTGATGTTGCATAAATGGAGAAGTACGAATAAATCGGGTTGGAATGTTTGATTTTTTAATATCTACAAGATTCGGCACATATGATGGATCCTTAGCAAAAACATTAATGAGGTTCTCGAGGTCATTCTTTGTAACTGTTTCATCCAAAGTGATACCGATAGTAAAATCATCTACTTTACGAAGATTAATGCCAGCTTTCAAGGCCTTTTCATATATTTTCTTAGATCCACCTTCAATATGAACATTTAATGTATCAAAAAAATGGTCCGTTTTAATAGTATATCCGTGACTTTTAATATCAGCCGCAAGAGTATTAGTAAAATTATGAATGCGCTTAGCAATGTTTTTCACCCCCTATTTTAAATTAAGATAGTTAACATGGTTTATATCAATCAATTAATTAATTAATCAATCAATTAATTAATCAATTAATTAATTAATCAATCAATCAATCAATCAGTTAATTAGGAAATTACAATTTACCTCTGGTCCATGATAAACACCATACATAGCCGCCATATTGGCTAATAAGGCTTGAGCTGTACAAATATTACTAGTAGCCTTTTCTCTCCTAATATGTTGCTCTCTGGTTTGTAGAGACAATCGATAGGCTTTATTACCAGAAGCGTCACGTGAAACACCAACTAATCTACCAGGAATCCTACGAACATGCTGTTTTTTACAAGCAAAAAAAGCAGCATGCGGACCGCCATAACCTAATGGAACACCAAATCGTTGACTGTTACCGATTGCAATATCAGCGCCCCATTCACCAGGTGGAATAAGTAAGGTAAGCGCCAATAAATCAGTAGCACAAATCATTTGTCCACCGATAGAGTGAATTTTATTGGCGAGTTCAGTATAGTCGTTTATCGTACCATCAGTAGCAGGATACTTGTATGATAAAGTGATATTAGTATAGTTAAATAAATTATAACAAAATTTAATAAATTATAACAAAGTTTAATTTATCTATATATAATCTATAAAATTACCTGAGTTAAAATTCCAATTAAATCTTTACCATGTTGATCAAAATCATAATCTAAAGCATTTCCAACTATGACCTTGATTTTAAAACATTCAGCGCGAGTCTGCAAGCATGCAATAGTCTGAGGATGACATTTTTTATCCACAAAGAAAGTGTGCTGTTTTTGTTTACCTGCAGAATAAGCTATAAACATAGCCTCTGCAGCAGCAGTTCCTTCATCGAGAAGGGAAGCATTTGCTACATCCATCCCAGTGAGATCAGTGATCATAGTTTGAAAGTTTAAGAGAGATTCAAGGCGACCTATGAATAAAAAGTACTAAATTTGTTACGCGTTAAAGGAAATAACCTAATCATGTGCAAATACATTTACAAACCTTGAGAAATCTCGGGTTGATATGGAGTATACTGAAAAATGCGACGGCAATCGAGCATAATGATAAGTTTCCGAGTTGACATTTTCTTATTATGTCTGGTAAATGGATTACTGCAAGACCGATGAAAGTCGCCTTTTTACGCGAATGTCCTGGTGGTGCAGTACAATAATATGAATCAGAATGTACTCACTTGTGTATACCATCCAGGTGATTCCAGGATATTTCTTAATATGACCGGAGGAATGATAGTGTCAGTATAACCCATGCCGATATACGTTTTATATATTTTATTTTTCGAAGCGATGTTCTTCAATTTTTTCAAAAGCTCATTTTCAGTAAGGTCTTTGTCTAAAGCAAGGGGCTGTTTAGAAAGAATATTGGCAGGAACAGTTTTTGAAGCCAATTCTTCCATATCCTTTACACCAACAATATCAAGCATTTTTTTGACGTCGGATTCAGAAGAACCATTGTGTCTACGCGGAAATGTATCCAAAGGTGAAAATGCGTCGCATACTCTTGAACACGAAGAAAATTTTTTAATTGATGGTTTTGAGAATAATGACTTGCAGTTGCTCGCATAAGTAATGCGACGCTTAAAAGCAAGACTTAAAACCCTCATATTTTTTTTTTATTGATATTTCGAAATAGCGCTAACTAATTTTATTAACGTTAATATATAATTCAAAATCTCGATAACTGCAAATCCGATTGGTTAAATTTTTTTAACCAATCGATTTGTTAGTAACAGTTGCTAAATGGAAATATGCATTAAACTTAAAAATTTCTGTCATGTCGATATATGATTGAAAATAAACTACTATGTACGTACGTACACGCACTGAAATAGTGTGTCCAGCTTTTAATAGTTGAAATAGCAACGTGCAAAAATAGCCAGCAAAAATAGCAAATTAGCAATCACAACTATAGATGCTGGTGAAACTTCCATCAGCGTTATTTAGTTTCACCAGTATCTATAATCACAACATACCGGTATAGCCAGACGCAGCCAGGGCGGCCCCCCCTAAGTGCGGGTTACGGGTCATCGCCGCCACATTCATTTAATAATAACTATTATCTATTACACTAATAATTTTTATTAATGCAATAGATAATCAAAAAAGGTAACGCACGTTATATTATTATTACATGAATGTGGCGACAGTGACCCGTGATCCGCACTTAGGGGGGGCCGCCCTGGCTGCGTCGTATACGGTATAGCCATGTGTCATTGCCTTTTGTTTAAAGTATCTTTCTTGATACGTACATATATACTAGTATTTAATCGTCTCAACAATTGATAATTGCATGAATAGCAATTTCGCATCTCAATATAGCTAGCTATTTGTAGCAATTTGAGCAATTTGCTAAAAATAGCACTATTTTAGATGTTACGAATAGCTGGACACTCTGCACTGAAAATAAGCTATGTACACACGTATGTACGTACTGATTTTTTTAATTTTATACCCTGGTCACTATATCAAGATCGCAGGGTATAAATCAGTTATACCCTGGGCATTATGTGTACAAGCGGAAATTTCATTTCCGCTTATCGTTATACCCAACTGCACCCAAACTTTCTGTGCCAGGTTATGTAGATCATTGTGGCGCAGTGAAATTTTAAACCCCGTTACAATTCATTAATGTTAGGGTTAGCATTTAGAATGAAGTAAATATTAGATGGTTAGATAGTAAAATCATTCAAGGAAAACTTTTTTTTTTTTTTTTTTTTTTTTTTTAACGTCTACCGCAAAAATATTGTTTTTGACCCACTTAACCCATTTTTATTGACCCGCTCTAAAAAAAAAAAAAAAAAAATTACATCGTTTTATGTGTGGTTCTATAATCATATGAAGTGATCGCGACCATGATTGCATAACCTGTAATAAATTAAAAGTATATTGAAGTTTGTATAAGTTAAATACGAAAGTGAAACGAAAATGATGTAATGATTAATATTTTACTCTTAAAAAGAAGATAACGAAATATACACCATAAAACATAGCTATAGAGAGGCCAATACAGTTGTTGTTAAATCACGACATTAAATACATACACCATAAAACATAGCTATAGAGAGGCCCATACAGTTGTTGTTAAATCACGACATTAAATACATACTGTATTACAGCAAAAAACGTCTCTAAGTTAAACTCTAATAAGAACGGCTATCATCTGAACTTGTGAAATAAAATATAGAAATACAAGTCAAAACTGCATTAATTCTTCACACAAGATGGCTTCCCCTTCTTTTCGTATCGGTAATAACTGTGTTGTTCAGTTACCATTTGGGCAAGCCGTTGATATTCGCTTCCTCTATCACAAAACATCCGTCACAAAGTTCAAAGCCGAGAACGAATTAATTGATCCATAAAACAAGGACTTGTGTAGTTGAACGTGATATATGTACTATAATATGGAATGCTAAATAATATATACTGTATAATTTTTTTCTTTATCGAATTCGAGATATGCACGTGACACAATTATTGTCGTGTAATTACGTGGGTTAAAAACGATGCGAATCATTTTGTTAGAGTGGGTCAATAAAAATGGGTCAAATGGTCAAAAACGATGTTTTTGCGGCACAATAGGAATTTAAAAAAAAAAAAAATTTTTTTTGAAAAAATTGGGTCGGCGGGTTATGCAAAACGAAAAATTAACTTTGCGTGGCCTAACTGCGAATATTGATTTATTTTTAACGTTAATACTTCTTTTTGAGAATTGAAACCCTAATTTTTTAATTTATTTCATTATATCAAAACCTTGTTGATTGGTATATAAATTTGAATAATTATGAGAAATCGGTATGCTTCCACTACCAAATGTATCCATATATGATTTTTCAATACGTTTAGGTAAAATTAATCTGGATTCTTCTAATTCTGCAAGGATATATTCATCGTTTTGCCATTTTTTAAAAGTTTCACAAAGCGTTTCTGCCGATGGTCGTTCTTCCGGTTCTTTATTCCAACATTCTTTCATCAAGTTCACGTAACATTGCGGTGCCTCTTTGTTAACGTCTGGTCGTAAACCATCAAGTGTTTGCAACGTTTGATTTACATCATCTAATTTATAATAATATAATACACATTCACCATACAATACTTCCCACATGATCATACTGAAAGAATAAATATCAGAAGCAGTAGCAGGTTGTTGTCCTTTTAAAACTTCTGGAGCGATGTATGGTAATACCCCATAAACTTCACCATCCTTTTGTTTCAGATATTGAATTGAAAGACCTAAGTCCGCGATGTATGCGCTATTCAAATTATCTTGCAATACGTTACCGCTATGCAGATCTCGATGAATAATACCTCGGGAATGAATTCCTTTGAGATCAAAAGTTATGCAAAGTAGCAAATCTAACTTATCTTTCCATTTCATTTGCGATATAAGTAGAAGATTCTGACGCAACGAGCCCATTGTTGCATATTTTAATGCAAGAATGTAATTTCCGTTTTCCTTTCTTGTTATGCCGTAACATTTCATAAATGAAGGATTTTCAACTCCGATTTCGCAATACGTTTTTAGCTTTAAAAGTATTATTTTTAATAAAACATACGTATATGTGCAAAAATGAAATATTTCGAATTAAATAAATACCTCGTTTAAATAATCATTATTATAAAATTCCTTAAGTGCGACAATAATATTTATATCTTCAGATACAAGGACTTCTTCATATTTTTCACTAATTTTAGCATACGATTTACCATGTCTTATCCAGTTCGCGATATATACAATCGCAAAACCACCTTTTCCAATTTCTCTAACATTTTCAAACTCGTAAGGGATCCAAGATAACTGATATTTATCATTGTCTAATAACGTTTTTACATCATCGTCAATATCAAGATCTTTATATTCTGATTTGATAATTTCGTGAAATTTACTCTTTTCCATTTGAAACCAATAATTAGCTTGATCCATGTCCATTAGTGTCCCAATACCATTTCGATAACAATAACCGACTTGTTTCATTCCAGCGGCATTGCCCATTTCTGCAGATTGTTTAAAATATTCTAATGCCTTCTTTTCATCTTTTTCGACACCGAATCCCGATTTATAAGAATTTCCAACATTAAGCATTCCAGCAGCATCGCCCATTTCTGCAGATTGTTTAAAATATTCAAATGCCTTCTTGGCATCCCTTTCGACTCCGATTCCCCGGGCATAGCAGTCTCCAACATTAAATATTCCAGCTGCAAACCCCATCTCTGCAGATTTCTTATAATATTCGAATGCCTTCTTTTCGTCCTTTTCGATTCCGATTCCTCTACAATAGCAATTTCCTACAGCAAATGTTCCATTAACTTCACCCAACTCTGCAGATTTTTTAAAATATTCGAATCCCTTCATTTCGTCCTTTTCGATTCCGATTCCCTCTCTATAGAAAAATCCAATTTGACATATTCCAACAGCATTACCCTGTTCTGCAGATTTTTTAAAATATTCGAATGCCTTCTTTTCGTCCTTTTCGACTCCGATTCCCTTTCTATAGAAAAATCCAATTTGACATATTCCAACAGCATTACCCTGTTCTGCAGATTTTTTATAATATTCTAATGCCTTCCTTTCGTCCTTTTCGACTCCAATTCCTTTACGATAGCACTTTCCAACGCTATTTATTCCATCAGCATCGCCCATCTCTGCGGATTTTTTAAAATATTCGAATGCCTTCCTTTCGTCCTTTTCGACTCCGATTCCTTCATGATAGAAATATCCAACTTTATTTATTCCA